ACAAAATTAAATAATTGTTTCTCATAACATAGAATTCTAAAAGTGACCCGCCCGCCCGGCTTTTAATTTTTAAATCGTAAAAATTTTATAAATTTTTCTTTGTCTAGAAAATATTAAAATGTATATTAAAAACCCACCCGGAAGAATTTATAATAAATAGCTTATAAAATTTTGTATCGAAAATTTACAAAAGCTGACCCGGCCGGGTTATGAGAAACAATTAATTAATTTTATATTGCCTTATACTTGATCTTAAATTTTAATTTGGCCCAATTGCGAAATTTTTTAGGTTGGGGATGCTAGGGGTGGTTGTCTGTTCCAAAATTTTTACATACGTACGTACGTACTACGTTATCAAAAGATCGGCGGCATAGAATCCTAACATGTAAATAATCTTTGGTACACTAATTAAAAATGTGGGGAACAATATTGCGATACAGTAATACAGTAGTACTGCAGTAACAATTTATCTCCTAACATTAATGCATGCTCGGTTACGTTATTTTACTGTGTTTACTACAGTTCATAGTAGGACAAGGATTATATATTTAACTCAATATATCGAATATGTATAATTTATTTAACATTGTATATAAAAACACTACAAGTCTATATTTTTTGTTATAGAAATATAGTGTACTCTATAACAATGTATATAATTTTCTTTGAATTATTTTTCCAATGCTTTTTTACAAGAGCATATAACAATATAAAATAAAAGAATAAATATAAAAAAGAAAAAGAAAAAACAATCAAATTTACAGAAAAGAATAAATATTCTTAACAAATATAACTACAACGAATTTTCGTTTAGTCTACAAAAGATCTCATTTACAATTCAAAAATATCATCAAATATATAGAAAACCTAATACCATAAAAACCTAATTTTTTTGTTAACAACTTAAAAAGAAACTCTTAAAAAAAAAAAATTTTTTTTTTGTTTTGTATAAATAATTTCATTCTTTTTGATTTTCCTGTACAATGATCAGTTGTTTTAAATGAGGATCATCCTTCTTTTCACTTTCCTTTGTACCCATACCGAAACTGAAGAAATTACTAAATCGTTTTCCTCCATTTCTAAAACCTGTTGATGTCGAATTTCTTCGTGATCGTTTAGACAAATCAACAAGTTGAACTGTTTCATTTTCCTTAGATCGTGTTTGTTCAGGCTCTTCTGCTATATTTTCTTGTATTACAGATTTGAGATTATTTTGAGGCTGGGAAGCACTTCGTATGTGAAAACTAGAAAAGGTTTTTCGCCTTTCCATTTTCTTTTTTGCGGGCTCCTGACTCAAATTAAATGAACCTGTAGTTGGTGAAGTAGGTGAAGAGACTGTCTTTTTTGCTGACCAGTCACTAGATAAAATTTCTTCAAAGCCTTTAGCTTCCATGATACGATTGAGAATTCTTTCAATATAAAGGGACATTGCTTTGTTAGAATCTTTAAGTGCTTTGATTTCATCCTGCAATTCTACAAAGTCAGAAGAATAAAATGAAAATATTAGATCATGAAATTTTTAAAATAAAGAAATGAAATAAAATACGTACTCTCAATAATAGTGTGGTCACTCTCTTTATGTACACGCTCGCCTTGAAGAAAGTTATCAAGATCGGATGCACGTTTCATTTCAGCTTGTAAATCTAAGGCAATTGAATTTAAACCGGCTACAGCATTTTGAATTGATGCACCATCATCAATGTTTGTGTGATTTGTCTCTTTGTCTGAAACTTTGGTATCTTTTATATTTTTCTTTTTTTATATAATTAATTTTTTTTTTTGTATAAATAAATAGTTATAATAAATTATTTAATTAATATTAATATATTATAATATTAATATTTGCGTGTAATGAGAAAATAATAAAATAAGGTCACATGATCTATTTACCTGCATGATAGGATTTAACATAAATTCACCTTTCATGGTTTTTTCATGTAACAATAATTGATACCCTTCATTTTCTTCCATTAAAGTTTGATTCATATGTTTAACTTGACCAAGCTCATTTTCTAAATGATGAATCCTAGCAACATGGTTCTTGTTTGTATTCATTGAATCGGTATGTGCTCGTTTAACATTTTCAATTTCAGTTGTCAACTCATTAACACGTCTTTCAAGTTCTTTAATGGTTCGTTGAGCTGTCTTAGCCTCACGCAAAACAGTATAATGTGAAGGCGTAGAGCCTGCAGTAGGAGTTAACGGAGGGCTATCTTCTATATATCATAAAATAAATAAAGAAAATAAAGAAATTAATTTAATAAAAATTAATTTAAAATTCGACCCATCAATCATTATTGAAAATTCATAAAGATAAAAGAGATGAATTGGGATTATACCATCGTTAGAACTTGACTGCCCATTTTTCTTTTGTGCTTCATTTTGTTGAGCGAGAACATTAATTGTTTCTTGGAGAGCTTTTACTTGACCAGTCAATTCGGATTCACGCAATTGCCACCCAGCCCGGTCTTTTTCAAAAGCTTGAGTCTGAAAAATAAATGTAATTATTAAATATTCGTCATTATATTTTTTTTATCAAATTGAAAAATTGAAAAATTGACAAATTGACAAATTGACAATTGACAAATTGTTATAAAATAAATGTGAAAATGAAAATGCATACCTCCTCTCTTAATTTCCTTTCTACTTCTCGCTTGTTTTTCAAAAAGCCAACATTTT